GTGGCTGGTGTCCAGACCTGCGTCCAGCACTGTAAACCCGTGGCTGGTGTTCTGAGCGATAAACAGGGGAACAGTGAGCGTCTCTGGACAGCTCCTCTCCTGCTCTCAGCTCGGAGCCAGAAGCTGCTGGCCTTCAGTCCAGCTGACGGTCAGAGAGGTCTCCGCACTGGACAATCTTCTCCTACAGAGGACACAGGAAGGAGAGGACAATCATGAAGACTGACAGACGGATGAAGCGACAGACGCGCTGTCCAGCCGACAGATTGACCGATGCTCTGTCCAGCCGACAGACTGACTGACACAGATACACACTGAGCTCCTGACACTCAGACAGACAGAGGCAAACACACTGACCCATCCTCCATTCCTCTGTATCCAGGGCACAAATTTCTCCATGTACTTCTCTGTGTATCCCACAACCCTCTGGACCCCGGTTGCTGTGGCGACCCGGCGGGACACCTCCATCGTCACGGCGATGCGGGAGAGGGTGGGGCTGGCGGGCGCAGGGGGCAGGGCCTCGGTCTGCGTGGTGAAGGTCTCCACCAGCGTGGAGAAGGAGCCGTAGGACAGGCGGGACAGGCTTGAGCGCAGGAAAGGGTCCGAGTTAATCTGCAGGAGAGACAGACATCCGGATCCTGTCCACATCGCCAGGGAGACAGAGAGGGGAAAGAGTAAGGGAGACAGGGACAGAGGGAAGAGAGGGAATGGAGGATAGGAGGAGAGGGATGGGAGTGGAGACTGTTTTACCTTTTGATTGATAGCGTCTCCCTGCATGGACAGGATATTGACCAGCTGCTGGACTATGAGCTCTTTCTCAGAGTCTGAGGAGAGAGAGACACACAGCTATTCAAGACCCTTTACTGAAGAAACACACGGACTGAAATACCCTGCTTCTGTCTCAGGGAGTATAATTTACCTTCAAATTTGTCCTCACACTGGCATTTATCACCATAGCAATACAGAGACCTGTCTGACTGTAGCAACACACAGAGACACCGACAGAAGCCCTGATTTTGGGCTCGTGTATGCCCTGAATCTCAGAGGGGCCCTGAAATCACGTCTTAACGAGCTGTGGAGTTCAGACTCTAAAAGGGGGTGCCTGAGGTCGTGCTCAGTAGATGGGGGTCAGTGGTTTCTTTGCCTCCTGCCCCCAGGTGCCCCCAACCACCTTCACGACCCCCACTGGGGCTCACCCCGGGACACCGAGCCCAGGCCTGGGAACGCCGTGGAAAAACAACAGTCAGAGGGACAGATAAAGAATTCACCCTCTAAACGCCTCGGTGACCCCCATCTGCTGAAAATCTGGGTTGCTGTTTAGGGGTCCCCCCCAGGAACCCACTCTTTCACAGGACGAGGCTCAACCTGCAGGCCATGCAAACAGGCGAACAGTTCCCCGACACCGATCACCCCAACAGGCTCCCGTCTGGGAGACAAGGGGTCCCCCTCCACCCTTCAACCCCCTGCCGCCCCCGAGAGCCGGGCCGGAGCCGAGACCAGGCGGTACAGCGTCTTACCCTCGCGGGCCGGGCTCGGCTTGGACGGCCTGGGCAAGCTGCGTTTCTGGGCGATGCGCTCCAGAGTCTCGGCCACCTCCCTGTAGAAGTCTGGATCGTGAGCTGGAAGAGGCAGAGGCAGACGTCACTACAGACTGACGGGACGCTGAGGTACTGGCAGGGGGGCCTGTCCAGAGGGACAGACGCTCAGAAACAGGCTGTTCACTTGCGGGTCATCTCTACTCACTGGGTGACCTGGGCTGGTCCACAGGCTCCGCCTTCGGTGTTAAGGGTAGCCAATTAGGGCGTCCGGGGGGCTGGGTCTTGCCGCCAAGCTCCTCCCCCTGAGCTCTTATCGGCAACTTCACTTGGTCCTTGGACTTCCTGCGGAAGAGGCTGAGGAAGGGCGACTTGGGCTTCTTCCTCCTGTCCTGCCTCTCTGCGTCAGTCTCCTCGTCTGAGGCCCCGCCCCCGACGCAGGCCAGCAGGCCAGGGCCCTCCCCCTTCTCCTGCAGGCGTAGCGATTGGCTGTGCCCAGAAGGGCCAAGGCTGTTTGATTTGCGGGGCCCAGGGGGGGAGGGGCCAGCACCGCGCTGCGATTGGCTGTGGGGGCCCGAGGGGCGGCGCCTCAGGCGCTTCTTGATGAGTGTCTTGAAGCCATGCTTCTTCTCCTCCGCCTGGGCGATCTGCTCATGGAGAGAACTCCAGCTGCCCTCCAACGGCGCATCGCTCTCCGGAGCCGAACTCTTGGCCCTGCCCAATCAGAGGAGGAGTTT